AGACCACACTTCCACGCTCACCGGCAGGCACCGACTGGCTATTGGGAGGACCGGGAGGATGTGTGTATGTGTGGCCCGAGCGAGCGAGAGACCTTACGTGCATTGTTGTTGTTAGCATCTGGTGCTAGCTAGCTGCGCTAACGGATATAAGGAGCTGTTTAAATGAAAACAGAGGAGCGACATTTCGCCACAACTGCGCCGAGCACTTGACTTGATGCAGGAAGCCAGACAGTGGGACATTGTACGAAAAGTCAGCACACTCAGCACGGATAGTGCGCAACATGATTGCAGCGTCCAGGCAGCTCCGGTTCGAGCATATGCCTTGAGTTGCACATAGCTCCAACGCCCATACCACCGACGACATGTTTGTTTACTGTCCTGGCTTCACGGCCGCACACCATTTACGTCACAGCCAGGCATGAGTTAGGGAGCGCTGGATTTGTGAAGAACTCCCCTCTTCCTAAACCACTAATACCACAGTACTGGCAAAACGGGAGGAGCCGAGTGAAAAACAAGCGCCCCTCATCCCAATCCACCCACACCGCAGTATTTTTTTCTTTTTTTTTACCCCAAAAATATATTGTATATTATCGGGGCTATTAATACTGGTATCGGGATGACGTCATAATTCCTAATATCGGACCGATAATTATCGGGCCGATAATTATCGTGCATCCCTAGTGAATACACATACTATAGCAGTGGTTCTCAAACTTTTTCTGTCAGGCCCCCCCTTTGGAGAAAAAAAAAAGTTGGGCCCCCCTAACACAAAAAGTCAGGCTCAGTGGCGGCGCCAGAGATTTCTTTTGGGGGTGCTGTGGGGTAGCTTGACGTTTCATAGAGGGTGCTCAAACATTTAGGGTTTCCCATTAATGTACCGGTCGCTACAGAGGAATGTTCTACTGCAACACTCCCCACGCAAATACACAGTGTGACTGTTACAATGAAGGCTCGATAATCAGCTCACGGCATATAGGTGTAAGCAGGGGTCAAGTGCTATTTTTATAGGTGGTGTGTGGACCTCACATAGGGGGGTCCTCACCTCACATAGGGGGGTCCGGGGGCAAGCTCGTCCGGGAAGATTTCTTTTTAAATATTGAAGTTAAAAGCATCAATCTGGTGCACTTTGAGAGCAAAATGAAGAGATCTATGGATACATCTCTCAACACTCATATGAAACAGAACTGTAAACAGATTTACTTTTTCTTTATGGATATTTTAGAAATCACCCTTTTAAACTTTTTTTACTGTCATATAGTATTTCATTTATTCTCCTTATATCTGTTAGCGTAGCTCGCTAGCACCAGAAGCTAACAACAACGATTTCCAGTACCGGTGCGCTCTCTCTCTTGCTCGCGCACACAAAATGGCTCGTTCCACACACACACACACACACACAGAGCCAAGCTTTAATGAAACACAGAGACCCAGACGTAATAGTACTGCATCATATTATTTTCGAATCAATAATTTTTCAAATTATGATTTTTTTTTTTTAATCTTTTTTTTTTTTATAACCATTTTTCCTCCTGGTCTCTCGGGCCCCCCCTATCATGCCTCTGCGCCCCTCAGGGGGGGCGCGCCCCCCACTTTGAGAACCACTGCTATACAGAGATGCTGTGAGAAACCAATGTGAGTTTGGAACATTGAACAATGTAAATCTATTCTAGTAGACCTCAACAATGGAATTATGATCAGTAGAAATGGCGATGACATGGGACCTTTACGTTGTGTAATAATACTCAATAACTACGTTTACTTTCAAACAGAAACCAGGTTATTTATGGATTCAGAATGTTTGAACACTACCCTGACCTTCATTTGGAAGAAAAATATGTTTTTTCTCAACCCAAAACTGAAGGATGAAGAAGAAAATCTGCCTCCATTTCTGAATGACTTCTTTAAATAACTGATGCCTGTGGCGCAGGGGGTGAATACGTGTCAAACAATAAGAGGGTCAGCCATTAATGGTGTAAAATGGCTTGTATGAGTTTCTTTTAGTAGGATTGTTCAATATAAGCATGCATCACTCCTGTATTTGTAATCTTTCCCTTCCTCTCACCGTGCCGCTGTCTCAACAAAACTGCCCCTTTTTTTGTTTTCAAAGTTTTACAGGGGGCCAGGGGTAGATTTGAAACCAGAATCTATGTTTACATTCTTGCACCAGATTCATAAACACCTGCTTACACACATATTGTTCTGTGTGATAAATCCCACATAATAAATAGCCCTCTGTGCAGCTGTTTGGAGAAGAACCGTGCTTTTGTCCTTGGCTTGATGTCTGATAGTGCAAAGAAACAGTCTTAACTCAACACTTAGAGTTGTATAAGTCAATATAATGATGTGTGGTGTGACTATATGTACATGTTTACTTGGAGTCAATGAAAACATGCTGAATATCCATTAACTCTGTAAATATTGAGACTGTTAAGATGAATGATGCCCAGATTTACCCAGAGACCTTCTGACCTGAGAAGTGGTTTAATAATATTTGTTGTGTACATAATAATAATAATACTAATAATAATACATGACACTTATATAGCGCTTTTCTAAAAACTCAAAGACGCTTTGACGGAGAATCACTGGCTTCCGGTAACTGCTAGAATCCACTTCAAGACACTGGTACTTGCGTACCATGCTGCGAATGGATCTGGCCCTTCCTACATCCAGGACATGGTTAAACCGTACACCCCAGCGCGTGCACTATGCTCTGCATCAGCCAAACGGCTCGCTGCGCCCTCGCTGCGAGGGGGACCCAAGTTCCCATCAGCTAAAACACGTGGGTTTGCTGTCCTGGCTCCAAGATGGTGGAATGAGCTCCCCATTGACATCAGGACAGCAGATAGCTTGCACATCTTCCGGCGCAGACTGAAAACTCATCTCTTTCGAATTCACTTCGAGCGATAGATTTATTAACAAAGCACTTATATACTAATAAAGGGCTGGCTTACCTAAAGCCAGTTGAGTAGCACTTGAAATGTTTGGCTCTATGAAACCTGATGTACTTTATGATTCTGTTTTCTTCAAGGTTGTGTCTTCCTGGTCGAATGTACTTATTGTAAGTCGCTTTGGATAAAAGCGTCAGCTAAATGCAATGTAATGTAAAATAACACAAAAACGAAGAAAATATGTAAAGAGACAAACAAAAAACGTATTATTATGAATCCCATTTGAGAGTGTTTAGAAATCTGAATGGTATTGACCCAATGAACTTGTGTTCTAATAACTATAGAGAGGTTTGGGGCAGAGTTGACATGTGTTGTATTTGTTTTACATACAGAGAACATTATCTTAAATAGTCCCTGTTGCTTTGGAAAGAGAAATGAAACCAAACAGATAATCATCTGGATGTGTGCGAACATTGTGTTCAAACCTCTGCTGAAACAGAGGAAAGAATCTTTCTTGTTTAAAAATAATTCATATTTTGGTTAAAACATTTCTAATAAAATCCGGTTCATTAAATTTGCTGAGATTTTAAAAAGAGATTTGGTTTACAGATTTATTTCATTTTTAAAATGTATATTTCTGTGCTTAGTCTGCCTAGTTTATTTAGTAACATATTCGTAAATAAGGCCGCAGTGTAAGTGTATTGTTTGCATAATTTATTTATTTGAATGACTATTGCAAGTTTAATGCATCTGTCTTGTCTTCAAAGGTTTTTCACCTAAAACACCCATTCAGCAACTAAATGGAAATGAGTTTTCAAGTAAACTACTGCAATAAAAGACTGAAAAGTAACCGTGTCATTGGAGTGGAATCCAGTTACAGATCCAGTAGAAGTTTCAAGTCCCTTTCAAGTGGGGAAACTGCACCAAAATCAGAGAAGACTTGACAGCTGTACTGTAGTTCAATCTGGAGACAGTCCTTTGATGTAACAATATATGGGAATACACAGATGCATGTAATGGTGTTTGGCGATTAGAGCCTGTTGTGCTGGAATATCATTCGGCAGGGGAAAAACCAAACCGATGAATCCCGCCCTGGGGTCTAGACCCTGGTGGTGGTGAAGGCATGAAGGGATCGATGGTGGTCGGTCTGAAGAGGAGTGGTTTAAGCTTGGCCCTGGTTTCAGAAGAACGGGAGGTGGAGGAGGGCTGCGTCGAGTCATCTGAAATGACAGGGGAGAGAGCAGATTTAAAGGTTTAGCAATGCACTATGATAGGCTTGTGGGAATAGAGTGCCGCAGTGACGCGTCCTAAAACCCGGTAGTAAGTTAGCATGTTAGCACTTCCGGTTCCCTCGACAAAAAGCAATGGAATTTCTCCATAAGATTTGGGAAAATAGCTGGAAATAAGGTCTGTGGTTGAGACACATTGAAGAGAAATACATCAGCTGTGACCCCACTGGTGATTTCTGAAGAGTTGACATGTCTGAAAAACGATGGTTGTTAACAAGTGGCTGAATAGGACTACAGAAGTTGTCGAGGCCGTTGTACGTCATTACGCCGAACACGTAAACACTCCTCTAAGTTTGTTTGCCCTGTTCTGCTTGAGAGCAAGTGCCTGCCTCCTGCAGACTGTTCAAACAAACACTTCAACTCGTACCATTTAGAGTCTCTAGTTTTGAATATGGATCTGAAGTTGGCGTGACGTTGAAGCAGCGACCCTGCTGTAGTTCCTTTATAGCATAACGTTAGCATTTTGCTTCTGGCGACTAGATTTACGATTCGAACATTATAAAAGTAGGGTAGACATGTGGAGATTATCCGGCTGAACAAAACGTGATCCGTCTCGTAAATGTGTTTCAACCACAGACCTTATTTCCGGCTATTTTCCAAAATCCTATGGAGAAATTGCATTGCTTTTTTGTCGAAGGAACCGGAAGGAGTTTACTTTCGGGTTTTAGGACGCGTCACTGTGGCACTCTGGTTTAGCTGAGGAGTGACGCCCCCGATCACTGATTGAGAGGAGAGAGGGAGTAGTAAGCTGGAAGACGGTCTTCCTGGTTGAACTTGCGCTAAGCTTCATTTAATGTTTCTCTCTCGCCCTCTTCCACAGATAGTGTCCAACGTGCTGATCTTCTCGTGCACCAACATCGTGGGGGTCTGCACTCATTACCCCGCTGAGGGGTCTCAGCGACAGGCCTTCCAGGAGACCAGGGAGTGCATCCAGGCCCGCCTGCACTCCCAGAGAGAGAACCAGCAGCAGGTGAGACACAGCCAGGGTCGGGAAAAAGTGATCCGTTACAATTACTGTAAAAATACATAATCAGTAACTGTTTGGAAAATCTCACTCGTCACCGGCTTGAGCTTCAATCTCAGGATCCATGTGTTTCTGATCCTCTCAAGAATGAAAGTAGTCATCACATACAGAGCATCAACTAGTTCTACCTTCACATGCTGATATACAAGAGAGGCAGTTACACAGTCACAAGATGGAGGAATACCGGTTCTTGTAGGTAATCATACATCCTGTCATGAACACAGCTACAGATGGGATACCTTTGTTTTCATGTTACTCTCATATTGGGAGAGTACATTCAGTAACAGTAACCTAATCTGAGTATCAAAATGTAAGTAATGTAACCTGATCATTAGGCTTTCCGTTAGTGTTGGTATTACCTCAATATCAAATGCAATGTCAATAAATGCAAGAAATATCAATAAGATGTTTTTTATTAAAGTGTGAACAATGTGACCTTAGAAAATAAAATATATTTCGGATCATAAATGGTTTTATTGATAGTAAAACCTGCCTTTCATTCATTATATTAAGGCAGTACACCAACAATGAAACACATGAGCACATACTACAGTTTAAAAAAGCAGAATTAAAATCTGAGCTTTCGGGACTAAAGCATTGGTATGGTGTAATTTCTGCTATTGATCTTTACATCATTTTAAAATAGTGCTTCTTGCTGGACAAAATCCCATTTTTACATGATGTGACTTTCAGTCTTTTTTCAACTGATTTCGTTTTGTTTTTTTCATTAAATCACTGTTGGCGAGTGATTAGCTGTACAGCATATATCATTTCACTGTCCTTTCCTTTAACCCTCCTGTTGGCTTCGGGTCAAATCTGACCGATTAATCATAACTTTTTGGTTTCACATTCGATTGCATTAAGGCTTCATGATATCCTTCACAGTAGACATTTGAACATATGCAATTGCTGATCACCACTTTCATTGAATTTTGGATGATTTAGTCAACTTTGTAACACCCATGGTGTTCCCGGGCAAAAATGTGACCTGATGCTGAAACCCCTGGGGATTCAAAGGGACACATCAAAGTGATAAAGGGCTTCAATGGCACCTATTATGTATCTGGGTTTGGGCTTCCACCTGACTGAAAGCTACAGGCCATAAACTCTCACTGCACAGCTTGATATTTGGACACACACACACACACACACACACACACACACACACACACACACACACACACACACACACACACACACACACACACACACACACACACACACAGAGAGAACAATTGAACATATTTCCCGCTCTTATGTGCCCCTCCCCCCACATGGATCACACCCGGCACACACAATACATGTTCAGTGTCTGTTCTTTGTATATTTACTGCAGTTGTTCATGTATACCAGTAGTCTGATACAATATGTACAGTTTGAAAGGGTGTTAAATGAAATTTGGTGATGATTAATGGTTTTTGTGTTAATGTAATAGCAGTTAAAACAGGACTGGTCAAATTTGACCACGAACACCAAAGTAAGGGGGAAACGAAGACAATAGGAGGGTTAAACCAGTTGAAGCCAATGTTGGTTTCTGCTGGTTTAACCACCACATTTCACAAAAAAATCCAATGAGTCCTACCAGGGATAAATACCTTCCATTAACACCATCAACCTAAGATCATATTAACATATTTGCATGCAGAGGATCTATATTCCTACAGCTGTGGTGTGGTTAAGACCTGCTAGAGATAATGGCCTAATCACAGAGTAGTTATTGTATTCATTAGAGGGTGTTAGTCATGCTGCCTCCACCTCTTAACTTAGCGTGCACTTATTAATGTGCTTTGACCTTAAAGCCTTGGTCTGGATCTCTGAATCCTCCCACTGCTCCAAGTCGACTGAAGATGGAAAACGGTGCGTAACGAGTTTAAATATCTGTCTGATATCTCCTCTTCCCACGCTCTCCTGCAGGAACGCCTTCTGCTCTCAGTGCTTCCCCGCCATGTCGCCATGGAGATGAAAGCCGACATAAACGCCAAGCAGGAGGACATGATGTTTCACAAGATCTACATCCAGAAGCACGACAACGTGAGGTAACACCGGGAAGCATACGGAGAGGAGGTGGGGTGATGTGGGGAAACAGATTGGAGATGCTATTAATAGAACATGTGTTACCTCGGGAAAACAGTAACAATACACACACATTTAGATACACACACACAAATATGCATTGCTTCTTTAAAGGAAGAACACGTTATTTAGTTGGCATTGAGAATTGTATTGGAGCTATTGGGGCTAGGGGAGTAGAAATATTGGTATGGTGTCATTTTTGGTAATTTATTAATCTTTGCATCATTTTAAAATAGTGCTACTTGCTGGGGGAAATCACATTTTACATGACATGAGTTTCAGGTTTTTCTTCCACTTTTTTTCCACTAAATCACTTTTGGAGAGTGATTAGCAGTACAGAAGATATCATGTCAGAGTCCTTTCCTTTGAACAAGTTGAAGCCAATGTTGGTTTCGGCAGGAGCTGCTATAAATAGAACGTGTGTTACCTCGCAAAAACAGTAACGGCCCGTCCACACAGCAGCGTTAAAAAATCTTTCAACGCTTCTGCCCATTCACTTTGACTGGGGTGACGTCACGTTGCCTCGCTTTTCGCCGAACTGCATCGTGGGGAAGCAAAGCGAAGATTTCCAGGATTTCCAGGATTTTCAGGATTCAAAAGTTGAGGTGGAAGCGTCAGCCAATCAAATCCCGTTTATGCAAATCTGACAGAACAAGCGCTAGCCAATCAAACCGCGTGCAAGCAGGGAGAGCCAGACCGCAGTTCATTTCCTCATATTCCAGACGAGAAATTACGGTAGCAAATCACCCGGTTCTTTACGACCAGTAACTATTTACCGGGATACAAACCGGAGGAACCAGGCATGGAGGGAGGTGGCAGAGACAGTGGGTGAAACTGGTAGGTTTTCGCCTGTTTGGGGATTTTATATATAAATACACTGAACAAAAATATAAACGCAACACTTTTGTTTTTGCTCCCATTTTTCATGAGATGAACTCAAAGATCTAAAACATTTTCTATAAACACAAAATAACCATTTCTCTCAAATATTGTTCACAAATCTGAAAAAATCTGTGATAGTGAGCACTTCTCCTTTGCCGAGATAATCCATCCCACCTCACAGGTGTGGCATATCAAGATGCTGATTAGACAGCATGATTATTGCACAGGTGTGCCTTAGGCTGGCCACAATAAAAGGCCACTCTGAAACGTGCAGTTTTGCTTTATTGGGGGGGTCTGGGGGGGTCCGAAAACCAGTCAGTATCTGGTGTGAGGGTTAGGGGTAGGGTTAGGGTTAGGGTTTGGGTAATGTTGTGAATCGAGTGGCCTGTGTTCGTCGTCCATAACATACGCCTGCCCATACCATAACCCCACCACCACCATGGGCCACTCGATTCACAACGTTACCCTAACCCTACCCCTAATCCTACCCCTCACACCAGATACTGACTGGTTTTCGGACCCCCCCAGACCCCCCCAATAAAACAAAACTGCACGTTTCAGAGTGGCCTTTTATTGTGGCCAGCCTAAGGCACACCTGTGCAATAATCATGCTGTCTAATCAGCATCTTGATGCCACACCTGTGAGGTGGGATGGATTATCTCGGCAAAGGAGAAGTGCTCACTATCACAGATTTATTCAGATTTGTGAACAATATTTGAGAGAAATGGTTATTTTGTGTATATAGAAAATGTTTTAGATCTTTGAGTTCATCTCATGCAAAATGGGAGCAAAAACAAAAGTGTTGCGTTTATATTTTTGTTCAGTGTATATATATATATATATATATTTTGCTCGCATAAAATCCCCCGGGTTTTTTGCTTTGTATGTCGGGGGCGGGATATTCATGTGATTGGTTGTTGGTCGCGTTGCTCGCAAAAAATCCCCAAGCTTTCAGACACGCCCACCTCCAAGATTTTCAAGATGTTTTTAACGCTGCTGTGTGGACGGGCCGTAACAATACACACACACATTTAAATACACACACACATTTAGACACACACACACACTGCTGTTCGTGACGCACATGTAGAGTTCCAAAAATTAATATTCAATGCTTATACAAACCTTTTTTCTTTCTCAAGCTTGCATTGAGCGAGCTTTGGTCACGAGAGGAGAAAGATGACTGAAACAATACAACATAACAACAGTGCTTTGTGTTCAGTAGTACTATGGTTTACTACTTGAAATACTAGAGAGGAAGATATACTCAGATCTTGTGAGTCATACGATGATTTTGAGTTTCTAAGGTACTCAATCTGATTCAGAAAAGTCACATCTAATGTACCTAACAGTGATGCTTTATAACCATTTAAATTGAACTAAATTCACCGTACTGTACTTCTCAATATACTATACTATCACTATACCCTCATTACAATATCACTGTATATTATAAATAATAAATAAACCAGATTGAAAAACAGAATTTCCCCCAGGTGGATAAACAAAGGTTCATCTTGTTCTTATATTATTCGCTATATTAAACAACATCTTGATTCTCTCTTTACTACTAATTGCACACTATACTCACATTACTATATCACTATGGTACTCGCTATGCTATGCTATGCTATGCTATGCTATGCTATGCTATGCTACAACATGACTTTACTCTCATTACTATACAGGGCTTTTTCTATAAAAATTGAGTATGAGGGCGCTGATCTTGTATATAAGATATATCCATTCACACGAGAACATGACGCCCGTATACAAGATGGCGCCATGAACGTTAACAACAACGCGAAGTCGGAGCACCGTAAAAACAAAGCTGTCTCTGTCGTCTGACGCTCTATTTGACACGGTTTTCATATTTCTTGAGTAATTATACAGTTTTTGACGAACAAAAATATAGTTTTCTGGCATCACTTTTTACGGGGAAAATCTGCATTTTGGAATGACAGAGAGCACGACAGACAAAACCCTGCTATATTGAAGATTCAACTTATTGTCATTACGTAGTACTAATGTAACTATGTTCTCTGCATTTGACCCATCCTACTGTTAGGAGCAGTGGGCTGCCATTATGTACGGTGCCCGGGGAGCAGTGTAGGGAACGGTGCCTTGCTCAGGGACACCAGTCTTTCCGGGACTTGAACTGGTGACCTCACAGTCCCTATGGACTTCGCCACCACCGCCCTGTATCACTATTGAACTCATTATACTGTAGTATACTACATTACTATACTGTTATTACTATATCACTATACTACTCACTTTACCACAATACTCCCATTTCAACACTTTACCTTGAATTCTTACTTTCACACACTGCCCTTTGAGACGTGATTTTTCCTATTCGTTGTTTTATCGCGTACTTCTTGACACATCTCAATGCATATTTATATTGCTTTTTACAATTTCTGGTGCAGCATTGTTTGATTGAAAAATAAATCATGATTTAATTCAGGTTAATCCTGAATGGTGCAGCCCACCCACGAGCATATAGGGGAGGGGGGGGGAGTAGTAGCAGGTGTTGTCATGACGATAGGCTGCATGGTATTTTCCAAGAGCGTTCTCACCTGTCTCTAGACACAGTATGTCATGTGAAAAAAAAATGGCGTCAATTAAATATGATAATAAACTATGACCCACATGTTGCTGGTCACCACAGCACAGTCAACCAAAAATACAGCTTTAATTAAATGATTTTTCCAGTAATGATTATATGTTTAAAGAACATTCCAGTTCCATGAAAACCAGGTCAGTAGTTTTCCTGTAATCCTGCTGACAAACAACCCAAATCATTACCGAGGTAATCAATGAATAAGATCAATACAGTTTTCTATGTACTCCTCTAGAAGTGCCTGCCTTTAAACGGTTTTAGTTTATTAGATTTCTGATGTTACTCAGCCTAGTGAGGATTTCTGTCACTCAGCATCTCTCGAAGAACGTTGTATTCAGATGATTGATTAAATAAATGCTTCAATCATTTGTTTACACGGCACAGATGTCGTTGTTTTGAAGTGACATTTCCATCATGTGTGGTCGTTTAAGGAGGAGAACATAACCCTCATCTCTGTTTACAGATAGCCTTTAGCATCAGATGCTAATCGCCTCGTCCCTTGTCTCATGATTGTGGACTTTAATGAATTCTGAATCAGGTTTTTTTTGGGGGTGTGATGCTCATAGACCGTTGGATTCAGTCCCTTGTGTTTTGTCCAAGGTCCCTGCAGTTTCATTAACGTATTGGATCACTAGTTTAACTCACTTTGATGTGTGTAAAGTGGCTTTAGTCTAATAACCCTGAGCGACTGTGGTCTGTTATGACGCCACCTCCTGGAGTTACAAAACACTGCACCCGGGAGACACTGGGAATCAGACTGCGTGTGGGGTTGTG